ATACAGATTGAAAAGGTATGGAGATAAGGATGCATCCATCCCTCACGTATACTTTTCCTGATTTTAAATCTTGCTCTATTCTGACGACTGCCTTCTGGTCCAAGTATAGGCTTTGCATAAGCACAATCAAATGTTCTGGGATTCCATTCTTCTCAAAGTTAGCCACAGTTTGTTGTGATCCACACAGCCAAGTAGAACATAGAATACACAAAGTATGAATCTAGGAAAATGGGAAGTTGTCAAAAACTAAATGGAATACACTAATATGCACATCCTAGACATTAGTGCATTGAGACTGACTTGTACTGACCATTATGAATCAGACAGTCATATATCTACTATACTGGGAATGATAAAGAAGAACGGTGTGGCATTCATAGTCAAAATATACACCAACCACTAAAGCTAAAGATGAAAAAAACTGACAGCTTCTACCAATTTTTGCAGTCTGAAATTGACTAAACATGTAATCCAAATGCATTCATAATTAACTGGTGACTGAAACACCAAAATTGGAAACAAAGAAGGCTAGAATTTGGAAAATAATGGCCTTAGTGACAGAAATGAGGCTGGAAATCACATGACTGAATTTTGTACATTCAATGATTTATTCGTTGCAAATGTTGTTTGCTATGTGCCATCGAGTCGCCTGTGACTCATAGTGACCCTATGTACAACAGCGCTAAATCCTGTTTTGTTGTGTGTTAATTGCACTGTCTCCGACACACCTACCCCCATTACCCCAGTCACTGAATCAATCCACCTCACAGAGGCTCTTCCTCTCCTGCAATGTCCCTCGACCCTCCCAAGCATGGCATCCTTCTCCAAGGATTGGTCCCTCCTTGCACGATGTCCAAAGTATGTCAGACAAAGTCTCAGAATCCTTGACTCCAAGGAGCAATCTGGTTTCACCTTCTCCAAGACGAACTTGTTCGTTCTCTTAGCAGTCCATGGTATATTCAATACTCTTCTCCAGCACCACAGTTCAAAGACATCAATTCTCCCTCTATCCTCCCTAGTCATTGTCCAGCTCTCTGATGCAAGTGATTGCAAAGACCATGGCCTGTATCAGGTGTACCTTAGTGCACATCAGTACTTTTCAGTACTTTGGAGAGGTCCCTAACAACAGACTTCCCCATCGCAATATGTCTTTTAGTTTCCTGATTGCTGGTGCCAAGAGTGTTGACTGTGGAGCCAAGCAAACTAAAGTTGTTAACAATCTCAATCTCTTCATCATCCATCCTGATGATGCTGCCAATTGGCCCAGTGGTAAGAATCTTTGTCTTCTTGATATTGAACCTTAATCCATATTGAAGGCTGCATTCCTTGTCCTTCTGCGGCAAACGTTTCAGGTCCTCCCCAGTTTCAGCAAGCAGGGCTATGTCATCTGCATAACACAGATTGTTGATAGATCTTCCACCAATCCTGATGCCACATTTCTCCTCATACAGCCAAGCCTCCTGGATAATCTGTTCTGCATATAGGTTGAAAAGGTATGGAGATAGGATGCATCCCTGGCATACACGCTTCTCAATTTTGAACCATGTAGTGTTTCCTTGCTCTGTTTTGATGTCTGCCTCCTGGTCCAAGTAAAGGTTTCACATCAGCATCATCAAGTGTTCTGGGATTCCCATTCTTCTCAGAGTCTGCCACAGTTTGTTATACACCTTTGCATAATCAATGAAACACAGATATATATTCCTCTGGTACTCCCTGATTTTAGCTAAGATTCATCTAACATTAGCTACAATATCCCTAGTACCATGACCCCTTCTAAACTTTTCTAAACACATAAACAGTAACTGTATACATGATTTCACATGACGGAATTCAGAAAAACCAGAATGACTACATCTGTGAAAAGATTCATTAGAGAAGTTCAACATCAGCTTTTAAAACCAGCCCAGGTATGGACTGTGGAACACATCATGCATTATTCACATGCAAGTTTAAATTGAACCTAAAAAACAAACAAACAAAAAATCAGAACAAGTCCACAAGAACCAAACTATAACCCCAAGTTTATCCCAAATGGACTTACATATCTCAAGAATAGATGTGATGCAACAAACATTAAACATGAGCTATTGGATGACTTCAAGGATATCATCCATGAAAAAGCAAAAGGTCAGTACAAAAACACAGAGAAGACAATGAAATTTGAAAATTACTATGATATATGCAAAAAGCTTGAGTTAAAAATCCCAAAAGGGAAGAATATACTAACATTTCTCAAGATGAAATAACAAAAGAACAAATTCAAGCCCCAAGCTGCAAGACTGAAGGATTCTCTGGAAAAAAATCTTGACTGATTCAGGAAGCATCAAAGTAAGATAGAATACACAGAGTTACTGTAACAAAAAGAATTAACTGATAGGATATTATTTTAGAAAGTAGCATATGAAAGAAAACATTCAAGCTATACTAAAGGCATTGGCAAAAAAATAGGGCTCCAAGAACTGATGGAGCCTTACTTATCGTTAGCATGTTTTAACAAACAAATGCAGAACTAGTCTATGCTCATTAGACTACGCCATGAAATTTGACGGATAATTACCTGGCCAGCTAACTGAAAGAGATTCAGATCTCCTTTTCCAAAAAAAAGGTAATCTAACAGAATATGGACATTCTCAAACAATACCATACCCAAGTAAAAACTTACTCAAGAATATTTAAAAATGGCTAAAACATTATATTGACAGGGATCAGCCAAAAATTCAAACTGACTTCAGAAGAGGCCATGACACCAGGGCTATCACTGCTAATCTAGTGTAGATTTTGGCAGGAAGAAAACACCAAAATAATGTTTATTTGTGTTTTACTGACTATGCACAAGCATCTAACTTTGTGGATACTAACAAATTGCTAACACTAAGAAAAATGTGAATCCTGGAACACGCAACGATGCTCAAGAGAAATCTACACCAAGAAGCTGCTGTCTGAAAAGAATGGAACACTGCATAGTCTAAAATCAGGAAAGGTTCAAAATTCAATCTATGTACTGAATAAACAGCACACTAACATGAAAACTTAAATAACTATCTAGAAAAGTAAACTATATAAACTAAAAAAAAATGTAGATTTGAGGATACCAAGGTCTGGAGAAAGGAGAATGGGAGTAACTGCTTATTCATACATAATTTCATTTTGTGGAGATGAAAATATTTTGGAAATAGTGATGAAGCTACACACACTGTCAGTGCAATCTACTTAATTGCATACTTAAAATTTGCTAAATAGCAATTTTTTTACAATTTATAAAAATTTTTAGCAGGAGAGAGAGAGTATGTGTATAAACTGTGTAACAGAAATTTATTGTCTTAAAATAGCTGTAAGAATTTGCAGGTGATAAATTATTTCTTCTTCTACAATGGAGTACTGTAAATTTACTTGACTGTCATTCATTGTATGAAATATATCCCCCATTACATACATCCGCATGCAATTTAAATAAAAGGAAAACACACACTACTTAAACTTACTATACAAGATATCTTCTATTTTCAATAGTGGCCACAAACCACTGAGCTACTTAAATGATAACTTTTAGTTTAAAAAATATTTCAACAACCATTCTGGAAAGCAATTTGACACTTCTTCAAAAGCTGAACACAGAAATTCCCTATGACCCAGCTATTCCAATGCCTGGAATATACCCCAAGAAAATAAGAACTGAGGCTCAAATGGAGACTTGTACACCAATGTTCATAGCAGCATTATTCGCCATCGCAAGAACATGGAAACAGCCCAGATGTTCAACCACAAACAGAGAAGTTATCATACATTTACACAATGGAACACTACACAGCATGCAGAAGCAATGATTTTATAAATTACTACCTAACTAAGGAGGGACTGAAGAGCCTTATACTAAGTGAACTAACTCAGTCCCACAAGGACAAATACTATATAAAACCATTATTGTAAAATGAGTATGAGGATCCAAGGAAGGGGAAGCAGAGGGGTGAGGATGGGGTGGGGGGTGAGTGTTAATCATAGGGTTGCACAATTCAATGGGAAGGATCTTATGTGAAAAGCAATGTACTTAAACTTTGTAGATAAATCAGTAAAAAAGAAAATTTTTAAAAATATTATTTCAGGAAATAAATCTAGAATTATTAAATCCTTAAAAACATCAGCTTGAAAGGAGCTCTGGTGGCCTAGTGGCAAGGAGCTGCAACTACAATCCCAGAGGTGCACGGTTCGAATCCACCAGATGCTCTGCCGGGGAAGGAGGGGCAGTCTCCTCCTGTTCCAGTCAGATCTGATTTGACGGTACACTCACACAAAAATAATAAAATTTAAAAAAAATAATAATAAATTTAACCCACTTTAAAAAAACAAAACAAAAAACCCAAACCATCAGCTTGGAAAAGTGCCCTGTTCTCTCTTCATCCTGCATGCCACCATTCTGTAACTTGATCCACTGTATATTCCAAACATTCACCTTAGTTCCCTGCCAGCAGAATGTTGTCAATCTGTCACAGTGATGTGAAGACACTCTGGATACATGTTACCACAGTAATGGAAGACTTTGGACTAGTATTAAACTTAACATACTCAATTAACTTTTGAAATTGAACTAAATCTTGCACATAAAATCTTTAAAGACCTAATTTCATTATGCTAAAGTGAATGCTTCATTTCTGCTTCCCAAATTTGTATTTCTCAATGACTGTAAAACACTACATAGGCTATTTCTTTCCATTTATGCATAGATAAATTAGAGGAAGATCTGGTGGCTTAGTCATAGATACCTGCTCTGCTAACCCATGTGGCTCAAATTCACCAACTACTCCATGGGAGAATGAAGGGTAATCTCCTCCCATGAGATTTACTGCCTCTGAAAACCCACTGGAGGGTCTGCTATGGATCAGATCGAATTTGAGAGCATATAACAACAAATGAGAGAATGAATAAACCGATCATCAAATCAGACCACATTTTCACGTTGAATTGCTAACATGGATAACTGGGTAACATGGGATGATGAGGCTCACCTTCAGCCAACGTCAGCGCCTCCATAATTTTAACAGGGAGAGAAGATCCAAATGTTTTCACATCATAGTTCATAGACTCATTTATGGAGTGATGCAGGAACATTCGTGTCGGCGTTCCCCTAAAGAGGAGGCCACATTACTTCATGCATAAGATAAATTTTCCATTATCCTATTACTTTTCATACATACAATTTTTTTAAATAATTTTAATGAACATTTACAGAGAATTTGGATTTCCATTCATTCATTGCTGCACTTCTCTACCCGCCCATTCCTCTCCCCCCCCGCCCCCCTCCAGTTAGCTCAATACATACAATTTTTAAAGATTTTTTTTTATAAGAAGAAGCATGACAATAGAAAAGAATACTGGCTTATGTATATTGTATAATTAAAAGCATTTTTCATTAAAAAGAAATGCCCCTGGGGCCTTAGAACACTTGCTTTCAGAATGTTACAGTCTAATCATTTAAACATGGGCCTCTAGCCATCTCAACTCTATAACTCCATTTCTTTAGCTGTCAAATACCCAGGCTGGACTAGATCAGTATTTTTCAAATGACAGGTTAGTCTGAGGGTCTCAAATCAACATTTTGGGGGGAAAAAGAAAGAGCATAAAGTGTCAGAGTTTATCATGTGTTGTCAAAAAGTTTAACAAACATTGGATCAGAAGATCAAGAAGCTCTTGTCTAGCTACAGAATTTTAAGAACTTATGAGATCTATATAACTAAGTACATATAGTTACCTACTCTTCAATAGCAGTTTATTTCAACAGCACTAGAATTCTATTTCCTTCTCACTCTTGTCTTCACATTTAGAATAAAATATAAAGTTGTCATTATAAAAGTTATCTCTTGTCAGGAGGATTAAATAAAGAGATACAGGCAGCCATGGCGTTCCAGTGTCAGCGAGACAGCTACAGCCCAGGAGTTCACCACTACCGTGGTCTCCTGCCATCCTGCAGAGTTGCAGACTGAAGGAAGTAATGGCAACAAGGTAGTAAGCGGTTTCCAAGTGGTGCTGGAAGACATGCTGCTTTTCCCTGAGGGCAGAGGACAGCCTGATGACTGAGGTACTATCAATGACATCAGTGTGCTGTGAATAACATGCCAGGGGTCCCAGGCTGATCATTTCACAGAGATACCCCTAGACCCCGGGAGCCAGGTCCAGGTCCGAGTGGACGGGGAGAGGAGGTTTGACCATATGCAGCAGCATTCAGGGCAGCATCTCATCACAGCAGTTGCCGACCATTTTTCTGGGTGGAAGACAACATCCTGGGAGTTAGGATGCTTCTGGAGCGTGACTGAACTGGACACTCCCTCTGTGACTGCAGAGCAGAAAGCTAGCATTGAGCAGAGTGTCAATGAAAAGATCTGAGATCAAATCCCTATGAATGTGTGAGAACTGCACCTGGACGATCCTGAGGTGGAACAGGTGTGAGGCCGGAGTTTGCCAGATGATCACACTGGACCAATGCTGAGTTGTTAACATCAAGGGTATTGATTCCAACATGTGCTATGGGACTCACATGAGCAATCTCAGTGACCTTCAGGTGATTAAGATTCTGGGCACTGAGAAGGGGAAAAAGAACAAAACCAATCTGATATTTTTGGATGGGTACCATGCGCTGAGGTGGATGGAGAGGAGTCACAGGACTGAAAAAGCCTTGACCGCTTTACTCAGCTGTGGAGTGGAGGATCACATGGAAGCAATGAAAAAGCTACAGAACTCAACCAAACCTCTGCTGAAGAACAACCTGAATCTGCTCAGAGACTTTGCTGTGCACACCGCTCACAGCCTCAGGAACAGCCCAGACTGGGGAGATGTGGTTGTATTACATAGGAAGGAAGGTGATTCTGAGTTCATGAATATCACTGCCAATGAGATTGGGACCCTCCTGTTTTTAACCGTGGGCGAAGAGGAAGATGCTGGGCTCTTCTTACTGGCAGGATCGGCTGAAGCCATGGAGAACCTGGGGCCTAGGGTGGCTGAGGTTCTGGAAGACAAAGGAGCTGTAAAGAAAGGTCGCTTTCAGGGCAAAGCCACCAAAATGAGGCAGCATGCAGAGGTTCAAGCACTACTGCAGGATTATATCAACACAGAAGAGTGCTGAGTGAGGGACGCCCTTCCTGGTGTTAGACAATAAAATAGTTTGACTCAAAAAATAGGTAGGTAGGTAGGGCGTTAGATAGATAGATAGATAGACAGACAGACAGATAGATAGATGGATGATAGACAGACACACACACTAAAAGTGGCTTTGATGTATGGTTCGTAGATAAAATGGTTTTGTTTCTTGGCAGAAGTTATTGTTTTTCCTTAAATGATTAAACACTTTTCTTTGAAAGAGCAATGGAAGAAGAAATTTTTTTATTCTTTTTTAAAAAATTTATTATTAATTTCAATGAAAATTTACAGACTTTGGACTTCCATTCATTCATTGTTCCACTTTCCTCCCCTTCCAACCCTCCCCCTTAGTACACTACCCTCTTGGAAAACCAAAATTCTTTCACTGTTATATAATCCTTCCCCACAGGTCCACTCCACTATACAGCCTTTGCTCTGGACTCCTGTCATGACAAAAATCCCTAATAATTTTCCCTCTTAAACACTTTTCTCCCTCATCTGTTTCAAAGCAGTATACATTATTGAACCCATCCTTCTCAGTCTCCTCCCAACCCTGAGGTCAGTCCTGCTTTACAACAGCAGGACCATACAGTATTTGTCCTTTGTGACTGAGATACTTCACTCAGCATAATGTCCTCCAGAGTCAGCCATTTTGAATATTATTGCATGAGTTCCTTGTTTTTCAATGCAGCGTAATAGTCCATTGTGTGAACATACAACAGCTTCTCTATCCATTCGTTTGTTGATGGCACTTAGGTTGTTTCCAACTCCTTGCTATTGTGAACAAAGCCGCAATAAATATGGGTGTGCATATATCTGCTTGGATGTCAGTTATGGTCTCTTTGGGGTATATTCCCAATATGGAATTGCTGGGTCAACTGGTATCTCTATTTGCAACTTTTTGAGAAAGCGCCATACTGCCTTCCACAGTGGTTGCACCATTTTACCCTCCCACCAAGAATGAATAAGGGTTCCAGTTTCTCCACAACACTGCCAGCATTTGTTGCTTGCTGCTCTGTTAAATTTCCCTATTTTGACTGGGGTGAGATGATATCTCATAGTTTTTTTTTATTTGCATCTCTCTTAGAACTAGGGATTTTGAACATTTCTTCAGGTGCTCGTTAGCCCTCTGAATGTTTTCCTCAGTGACGTGTCTGTTCATATCTTGTGCCCATTTTTCTACTGGATTATTTACCTTTATCTTGTTGTGGTGCTCAAGTATTTTATAAATTCTGGATATAAGTCCCTTATCTGATCTGTCATTACCAAATACTTTTTCCCAGTCTGTGGCTTCCCATTTCATCCTGTTGGAGAAGTTTTTGGATGTACATAGGCATTTGATTCTTCGAAGATCCCATTCATTTATTTTTATCTTCTCCTGGTTTTAGGTTTTTCAGGATACTTGGAAGACTGTTTATGTTGTGGATTAGGACTTCTAGCATTCTTCCAAGCTTTTCTTTAATGAAGTCCTTGGTTTTAGTCCTAGGTCCATGAGACACCTTGAGTTGGTTTTTTTATAAGGAGTGAGGTGTGGATCTTGCTTGACTCTTTTGCAGATACTTTTCCAATTTTGTGAACACCATTTGTTAAAAAGGCTGTCGTTTCCCCACTTAACTGATTTAATCTCCTTGTCAAAAATCAGAAGACCACAGACAGATAGGCTGATCTCTGGGTTCTCAATTCTATTCCATTGATCTATGTGTCTGTCATTGTACCAGTACCATGCTCTCTTAACCACCACGGCAGTGTAGTAGAATTTAAAATCAGGAAGTGAGATACCTACTACCTTTCTTCTATTTTTAAGGAGTGCTTTGCTTATTTGTGGCTTCTTTCCATTCCAAATGTAACTGGAGATTGCCTTTTCCATCACCTTGAATAATGGGATTGCTATTTGTATTGGGATTGCATTAAACATGTAAATTGTCTTTGGTAGTATTGCCATTTTCACAATATTGAGCCTTCCTATCCATGAGTAAGGAATATTCTTCCACTTCTCCAGCTCTCTTTTTGTTTCTTGTAGTAATGTTCTGTAATTTTCTCTGAATAGATCCTTTGTGCTTCTAGTTAAATTTACTCCCGAGTATTTAATCTTGTGATTAGCTATTGTGAAGGGTACTGTTTTTCTTAGCTCCGGCTCTGTATTCTCTCTGTCACTGTACAGAAATCCAACTGATTTTTGTATGTTTATCTTATATCCTGCTACCTTGCTGAATTGGTCCACTGTGTCCAATAGGTGAAAGAAGAAATATTTAAAAACAACTAAATAAATATGGTTTTCATTCTCTGACTTTTCTCAAAAACAGAATAGTGAAAAGATCAACACTTGCAAGAACACTTTTCAAAATCAAGGATCAAAAGTCAAATAGTGAATTAATTTAAAATTATTTCTCTAAGTATGGCAAAATTCTACCCATAAAATTTAGCCATGCATACCTACTATAGTGTTACTGTGTTTCCTGTAGTGGAAAATGCATTTTTGACAGATAAATTCAGATAAAATGAAAAAGAAATGGATATTATCTTCTTTTAAAGTTCTAGACTGATTATGAACACAGAGAGTGACAGTGTGGACTTCAATTCTACACTTGTACTTGGTTGTGAAATTACTACCTTTAGCCCATTCCTTGTTAATGTTGAGTGTCAATCAGTTGACTATTACTCATAGCAACCCTATGAACTAAAGAGCTGAACCTTGCCCTATCCTGCACCATCTTCATGAATTTTTTTTTTTTTATGCTCCAGACCACTCTTACAGTCATTGTGTCAAACTGTCCTGTTAAAGTTCTGGACCTCTGTCTCTTACCCTCCACTTCACCTTTCCCAACATGTAGTCTTTTTCTAAGCATTGACCTCTCCTGACAATAAGTTCAAAATAAGTGAAACAAGGGGATCTCTGGTGGCCTAGTGGCAAGAAGCTGCACTGCAATCCCAGAGGTGCACAGTTCGAATCCACCAGATGCTCTGCTGAAAAGGAGGCACAATCTCCTCCTGTACCAGTCAGATCTAATTTCAAAGTACATACACACAACATAATTATTTGGGGAGGAGGGTGGAGAGAATGGTGTGGCAATGAAGGAGTAAAAGCCCAAAATCCCTGTGAATGTTCATTGAAACTAATAAAATTTAATAATAATAAAAAATTTAAAAAAAAAAAAAGAGAGAAACAAAATTTTACCATTCTTGTCTATAAGGATGTAAGTAAGTTTGCATTTACTCCAAGATAGACAATGTTTTTCTTTCGATAGTCTATGGGATATTGTATACTCTTCTCCAGCCCCACAATTCAAAGACATTGATTCTTCTGTCATTTTTAATTATTACCCAACTTTTGCATGCTTAGGAAGTAACTGAAAATACCATAGTTTGGATCAAGTGCACTTGAGTCTAACTTGCATCTTTATCACAACAAATTTTCCCAGTTCAACATGTCTTTTGTTTACTTAACTACTATTTCCATGTTGAAAATTCAAGTAAAATGAGATAGATGACAACTTCAATCTTTTCTCCATCTACAGCAAAGTTGCCTATTTTTAGTTTCTTGACGTTGAGATGTAAGCCATATTGAAAGTTATAGTGTTTGTTCTTCTGCAGCAAGTGCTTTAAGTCCTCTTCACTTTACTGGAAATAAAATTGTGTCACCTGCATAGCACAGGTTTTGGGTTAGTCAATCTCCCTCCAATTCTTCATATGGTTCAGTTTCCTGAATGATCTGCTCAGTATACAGAATAAATAGGTTTAGAGAAAGGATAAAAACCTGAAATACACCTTTTCTGATTTTAAACAAGGCAGTGTACCCTTGTTCTGTGCAGACAAGTTTCTTGTTCTACATACAGATTTTGCATAGATATAATTAAGTGTTCTGGGAATCTCATTTTTCTCAATGTTAAGCCACAATTTGTTATGACCCACACAGTCAAATGTCTTTGCATAAAGGACAAATACTGCATGGTGCCACTGTTGTAAAACAGGACTGACCTCAGGGTTGGGGAGAGACTGAGAAATATGGGTTCAATAATGTATACTGCATTGAAACAGATGAGGGAAAAAACTTTAAAAGGGATATGTTATTAGGCCCACACAGTCAAACGCCTTTGCACAGTCAATGAAACACAGATAGACATTCCTCTGGTATTCTCTGCTTTCAGCTAAGATCCATCTAACATCAGCT